GGTGACTGGAGCCTGTCCTGACTTCTCTGTGGCTCGTCTTTGGTCAAGAAGAATCGGACGTTACAAGAGCGACGGTAAGACGCCGAAGGAACGCGGTGGGGCCAGGCTCGCGTCTCCGCGCCTCACCCGCGACTCCCTTGTGGGCGGCGACAGCGCCTCCCCCAGGGGACCGTGGGGATACTAAACAACTGATCGAGTCGAAAGACCTTGTGACACCTCCCGAGGATAGTTAGAGCTCAAAAGCAGTACGCGTTTATTTTACTTTCATGGCTAATGTAATTGTTGCTGCCCTAGCACATGAAAGCTGTTCGTACATCTCATTATTAACCATTTTAGAAGTTATCTAGTTAGCCCTTCTTTAAGTATGGTGGTTTTGTTTGTTCCTCTGTTTGTTTTCGTTAGACTAACATTACTTACTTTTACAAGGTCTAAAACCGTAAGAGTATTTCTGAGTATTCGCAGGTTTTTTAAATTTTGCTTATTTTCAGTGTTCCAACTGGATTAGAAGACTCTCGAATATTTGAATCCAAATGACATATCACCAAAGGGACTCCTTTTTGGAAAAAGAAAAACACATACATTTCTTGTATATTAGTCAGCTGGGCGAGAGCTGGTCGTTGGTTGGCAAATAACTTGCGTCAAAATTTTATCGAAACTGTGGGATCTCCAGATCAAAGGTCCGGGGGAGGGAGAACCCCAGAGCCGCCCTCTCCTTCCCCAGCGGAATGACAGCTCCGCTTGACAGCAGAAGACCAAGCCCAGTGCGATGAACGCCTACTTGTTTTGTCCACAGTAAACAACTTACGTCACCACCTTACGTGTTGAGTTAGTTATTATAGCAAAAAAGAAAAAAAAAAAGCGAAATGTGTTGTTTCCTCTTTGCCAGGCAATACTCTAGTTATTGAAGAAGCAAAGACAAGACATTGTTTTTACCCTGAGGAAGTTTAAAGCCACGTTGGAGAGCTCTGCCATCTGCCCGCCACTGTGAGACCTCCCCAAAGCTGAGGAGTTATGTGTATACTGTGAGACTAAATATTATTTGGGGCTTTGGAATGGTTAGACAGCTAAACTGGATCCAGCGTGTTGTCCATGGCATGTGTTAATCCATGTGGCTTTGAACTGAACTAGCGTGATGATTCAGTTGTGCCATCTGGCGAAGGGACTGCTCCCAAGATCGTTTTCTTTGAGAATCAAAGAATTAAACAGTTAATGGTCTCAGAACAATGGATGGAGACTGAGAAATATGTTCTGTAAATATCACCATAACTACTGAAATCTGGTTGGGATTTTTCTGTGCCCTTTGCTGTTCTTCTCTGAGCATTAGGAAAATCTGGATTTGGAAGGAAAACTCAGTGTTTGGATTTCTTCCATATTTGTCAATTAGCAGCCCTTGAGAATTTGCGCACATTCTTCATGTGTTTCATGCCATCTGAGCATATAAGGATTTTTTAAAACCGTTTTTAGTTCATAGAAAGCTCGGATGTTAACAGAATGATCATCGCATCTCTATAGCTTCTATTCACTCCACCTTCTTTGCACATTTTCCAATAAGGCTGTGTAAGCGGAGCGGCCACATAGGCTTCTCAGGCTTTATTGGTGTACGAGATAAGGGACGAAACTCCCAAATTGCGGCTGCGACACTGGCAGCACTGGATTGAGTCATCGCGGTGGGTCGGGACCTGCACTCTGCGTAGTTCCTTAGCTCTTCAGAGCACTCTTTAACGTGGGTAATATTATCGCCCATGACAAATGAAGAAACTTAGGGAAGCTTAGGGAAGAAAAGTAATTTGCCAGAAATCGCAGAGCTGATCAATCGCACCTCTTTGGCTTTAGAGTCCATGTTCTTTCTTCCACGTCTTCCTGCTCCCCGTGGAGCACTTTGGGTGGGAGCTTATGACTGTTTCTGTTTGCTCATTCATGTATTCTTCCCTGCCCCCAAGTCATTCACCTTTTCAATTTATAGACATATTTTCTATATCTCTCAGGTCCCAAGCTCTGTGTGAGGTGAGGCGTTTGCTAAATAAAAACAGAAATACGATCCATCACCACTCTCAAGAATTTCTGAATGAAGTTGGAAGACCAGACCCTGCACACACATGCCCCGGACTGGCCACAGCAGGAAGGAGAGTGTGGAGGGAGGGGGTCGGTGGCTGGGACGCAGATGACAGAAGGCGTTGCTTTCACCTGGCAGGATCTCAGGAAGCCCTTAAGCCCTGAACCCAGAGAGATTTTATCGGACTGAATTCTTGAGCCCCCTTGAAGAGAACGCAATATGGATAAAAACCACGGGGTGTGTTAGGGCGCCAGTTCTCAACTGTTGCTCAGGGAGGATGTTGGAACGCTGGCGCCCCCACACGCCTGCCCTTGAGCATGCTCAGATCTCGGTGCCACTTTGGATGGCTCAGGCCGAAGGCTATGGATGGGTCCCAGATGCCGGCTGAATGCTGTCGTGACCGTGAATGAGGGTAGACGGCCTCGGTGCAACTGGAATGGAAACGAGAATGTCGTCGCCTATTACCGCTTCACGAACAGCCACAGAATCTGAGGCACAGGTCGACGAGCATCTCTTTTCCACGCGTCTTCCAGTCAGCTGGGCATCTGCGGCTCGGCGCACGCAGTGGGCGCAGCTGCACGTGGCGCCTCGGGCTCGGGCGCAGGTCTGTGCCACCTGTGCGGTCCCTTCCGGTCAGCTGGGCATCTGCGGCTCGGCCCACACAGTGGGCGCAGCTGCACGTGGCGCCTCGGGCTAGGGCGCAGGTCTGTGCCACCTGTGCGATCTTGGAGGGGCAGAGGGCAGCCAGGGCGCTCCTTCGATGGCCTGGGCGGGGTGCGGATGCATTTTAAGGTTCTGCTAATAAAACCAAGGTCAGGAGGAGGGGAGATGAGAGTGACCATTTCTGAAGAATCGTCTAGTCTTCCACACGTACAGTGAAGGAGAGGTAAAGAAGATAAAAAGCCGAAGACGGTTGATCTAGAAAGAAACGTCTAAGCGGACTTGACGACGGTTGTGAGCTGTCAGATCCATTCAGCAAGTGATACGGGGACGCTTTGGGAAGGTCGTGCAGCAGGTGCCACAGGCTCCTGCACACAGGGCGTTGTGGGGAGTGACGGGAGGTGAGGCAGTGAGTCCGAGGCTGTCGTAATGACGGGGCCCGGAAACGGCGAGGTGACAGCTGGGACGGAAAGGAGCCGAAGGTGCGCGGTGCATTTTGGAGTCGGGAATAGTCGCCCTTGGCGCCTCCCTGGATGTGACCGTAAGGAGGAGTCCCAGGGGGTGATTCTGTTGAAGCTCTTGGAACACAGGTGGATCATCAGTTTTGGGAGGGAGGAGAGGGCTTGGCACCTGGACGACGTGGGGGATGGGTGCTCTGACGGAAATAAAGAGGTCAGGAAGGAGCAGATCGGGGTTGGGGGCGGGAGTTGCCCGACTCGCCACTGACCGCTGCTGAGTCAGAGCTGTCCTGGGGAGGATGTGGAGCTCTGAGGACAGGTGGCAGGGAGAGCAAGCTTGTCGACGTGACGGAGGTCCAAGACATGCGTGGAGAAGAGGGCTTGTGCAGGAGGGACTGTCTGTGACCCAACTGCTGCTGGCCAGCTGTGAGCCAGCAGCCGATCCAGGACGAAGTCGCTTCCCGTATTCCCTCTGAGCGACCCCTCCCCTCTGGCCCAGGCCTGCCGGTTTCCCAGGCTAGCACGGGGTCACGTCCCAGTCCCCCATCCATCTTGCCCTGTGCTATATAATCTTTCAGCACCTGTCACTCTGCCTGGAGATGATCTGTGTCTTCTCACAGCCCAAGACAAGCCTCCTATGTAACTTGCCTCAATGCACTCTTGATGTCAAGCTGGAGCCGTCAGCCTCATTGTCCCTTCTCTCGGGCCTCAGGAAAGTTTCTCTACTGGTGGGAATGGTACTTAGGACCAGGGGCTGTCCCGGGGACCTGAGTGGAGGAGGCCGACACCAGGCAGTGCCTGTCAGTGATGGGCACCATCTCCAAAGTTTGAGAGAGGGGGCACGGAAGCCCTGGGTGGGGCGGGAGGGCAGGAGTCACTAGTTATAAAATTACCATTGCGTTTCGCAGGGAGTTCTTTGAACATTCCGAAAATGAGACAGAATGGAACAGGGAGGTGGAAGACGCTGAGGTTCCTGGGTGTGTTGAGGGAGCAAGGTCCTCGATCCGTGGCAGGAGGGTGGCAGATCGATCCGTGACGGTTTCCATCAGTCATACTCTGAAACCAGGGTTTGAGTTAAGGCAGTCTAGTTTTTGTCCTAGCAAATCACCTGACTTCTAACTTTAATCCTACTAAATTTTTAAGTCTCTTGTTCATACACTTTGCCGTATAGATGCAGAACATTTTTGTAAATGTTCATATTTTTTAACCGTGAAACGGGATGAAACAGGGCATGACCCCTGGGATGGCATCCTTACATTCTTCACCTGCTTCCTCACTGGGGGCGGGGCGGGGGCAACTTTGCCAGTGACGTCCGGGGTGTATGTGGCGTCTACCGTAAACATATCTATTTTAAATTCTGGGGAAAGAAATGCCAACTCTCTGTGCTTTTTCAAAAAGAAACGAATGACGATATTTAAAGCTAATAATTCTAAGGACGTATCACTTCTGAAGTAAATCAGGCTTGAAGGAATACTGCTTTCACTGTGCTCATGTGTGCATTGCAGTACATTTCTTTGCCGGATTTCACGTCCCCTTGAATGTTACGTTAGTTTTTTGGTCGCTGTGTTCCATTTATCCGCACGTTTCGGTCCGTGTTGCTTGTGCAGTAGGCACCGGTGTAAGTGCCGCGGCCTCGCTGGCAGGGTGGTCGTGCCTCACCCGGGTCATCGCACAGGTCGCTTTGCTTTGTGTCTCACGACTGCACGCAGAGTCTGTATGTAGACAGGTTTCAGAATCTTCTGTGCGCTCCAGAACCGGGGACCATTCAACGGTACGTGGCGTTTCAATGCTTGCACCTCCTCATGTGTTTTTCTTTTGCTCACACACAGAGCTGTGACCTGGATCAGCAAAGCATCGTTCATGTCGTGATGAAGCCTGGGGGCAAAGGCCAAGAAAGGAACACAGCTGGGAACAGCCCACGGGACGCCACGGGGGCCTCGGAGAGGGAGCCCGAAAGCCTGACTCGCGTTGACTTCAGCAGCTCCGTGCTCCCGACCGACTCAGTGGGACTGGCTGTCATTCTGACTGAGGACAGAGAGGATGACGCCCCACCTGCTGGAAAGCCAGGTAATCCCAGTGCCGGTTAGTGTCCAGCAAAGCGTTTGTGTAGTAAAGTCTCCGTGGAGAAGGACTTTGCTGCGTACGTGTTTAGTTCACGATAAGTTTTAGTTCACTAGAAACATCGCTAGAAGGAACGTGCTTGGATATCAGATTTGCGGGGATACGTTTAATAAGGAAAACGAATTTTATGAGTATAGGGTTTTCGAATGAAGAACGAACATAAGGGATGGAGAAGGTGTTGGGACTATGATGACGGTTTTTTTGGGGGCGGTTTGAGATGCTAGGGTGATGGGGACATGTGGTACTTTGTGCTAGGGTCAAACATACAATTAAGGTACTTATAAATCCCTCCCAACTTTCTCTTTCTCTTTTCTTCTATTGCTTCTTAAAATATGTTTTGGCTGAGTATGTTTCCGATGATGTAGAGACATTTTAAAAAGCAGAAAGAGAACTTTAGAGTTAATGTTAGTCATTTTCAGGTTCTAAGGCAACATACTACAATACCAAGAATATAATTCCTTCCTTCGCCCTGTGCTACAGCCCATTTCAAAAGCGCTTTTCTTTGGCACCGATGGAGATCCTTTTGTTGCTTTGACAGTATTAATACGTTTCCCTGAGTTGTTTCTTTGCCAATCTAAGTAGTCAAAGGTATAACAGGATTATCTTTGACTGTGCATGACAGAAAACACAAAACAATAACAATGAATCTACAAGGTAGAAGTTTATTTCTCTCCCACATACAATCAATGTCGCTTTCACAGCGTCAGAGAGTTCTGGAACCAGCACGATGGAGGCCTAGAACAGTATGAAATGTTTTCTGCTTAATTCACCAAATAAACTTTAGTACTTGTTTTTTTAAATTAGATGAGATTGCTATAAAAAAAAAATATTTCCAGGGACAAGTGAAAAAGTACAAAAATATATTTGTCTTTAAATGGAGGAAGGAGGAAAGCCAGGACTGAAATCCGCGAGCTGCTGACCGGTGGCCTTGATGTGGTTTGGTGAGGAGGAAGGCTATCCTTCACGTGTACTGGGCACCTAGGAGACTGGAAAAAATATGTGGTAAATGCGCAAAAAGGAGATAAATCTAAACCTCCGCAGTACGAAGGTTGTCCAGAAGGAGAAATTAATATAAATATTGGCCGCAGACTGATGGCGCGTCTGCCGCCTCTAGCAGAACAGCGTACGTCAGAGCATCCCGGAAGGCATTCAGGTGGCATGGCGTCGATGCCCCCAGAGACGGACAGCCTCGCCAAAGGGCACGTGTCATCAAACGTTATAAAGCAAACAAGGGCGATTCCTCCTTGAGAGAAGGTGGGCATGCACCGTAAACGGGAAGATTGGTTTCCCCCGAACTTGAGAAAATAAAATGGCATTTTGAAACAGTGCACAACAAATACGTTTCATGTTAATTAAAGCATAATAGAAAAAAAATGCAACCTAAAACAGAAAACGTACATAATAGAAAAACGGTAGCTATCAAATAGAACATAATTTTAGCTATTGGAATTTAAAAAAAAAACAAAAAACAAAAAACAAAAAACCTCAGGGGATGGGTTAAAACAACAAATTAGGTGATTCCGAAGAGAGAATTAGTGAACCGGAAGTTCTATACGAGGCAGTGGCTCATAACGGGACACAGGTTGAAATGCGAAAAGTAATTTTAAGACACTAGGCGTTTGGAATGAGATGGCTGAACATATATCTGACAGGACAATGAGAACAAAGGAAAGACAATTTTCTAAGAGAATGGCTGAGAACTTTCCAGTATGGATACGTCCTCTGATTCAAGAGTACGTGGCCCCAAGCAAGATCAATAAAAAAGCAAGCTTTTGGTCTCAATCAGGATAAATAGAAATAAGCTCACTCCATAAAGGGACTAAAGCACCGAGGAAAAAGAAGAGATCTTAAAATCAAGTAAAGAAAAGAAATTACCTAGAATGAAACTATACTTCAGATGGCTCCTGACAGGAAAGACAAGAAAAACGGTAGTGGAGTAATATCCAACTGTGCGAAGCACCTGCTAGCTTAGAGTTCCATACCCAGCATACCTGGCAGAAATATTGCTCAAAAGGGAGGAAAATGAAGATATTTGTCCACAATTGGGAGTATTCGCACTCAATCTTGAAAGAACTATTAACGTATTTATAACAGGGAAAGATGAGTTTGAACCCAAGATGAAGACATGGGATGTAAGGGATGATGCTCAGCAAATACAAGGGTAAATATGGGTAAATATAAGTGAATATTGATGTAAAAATTAATATTGATTAGTTTGATGGGTATAAAAACAGGAAACAAAGTAGTAGATAAAATAACATTTAAGAGAAAACAGTGATCAGTTAACATGGAAATATCCCAAGGTCTCATTAATGATCAGCAAATTAGTATGAAAACAGTATCGTATGATTGTATTCTTACCCGATGGGCCAAAATTTAAAAGCTGACAATACCAAGTGTTGGTTGAGATACAGGACAATGAGTGTTCTTCTCCATGCTGGTGGGAATATCGATTGATTCAGCCACTGTAGAGAGCAATTCACAACTTCACAGTAATTAGTGAAATTCAAGATATGCATATTCCGCAACTCAGGGTACATGAGGAAACATCCGTATAGATGATCGTGACAGGACCATCCGAGTCAGTGCAAGAGGAGAAACAGAATAGCTGTCTTTAAATAGGGGAATGGATAAATAATCAGTGTTTTATTCTTATAGGTGATGATAAGTCTATGATAATTCTATAATAAAGACAAATGACCCAGATCTATCAACATTAATTAATCTCCAAAACACAGTGTTAAGTTAAAAAAAAAAAAAAGGTCGTAAATTGCAAAGGAATGTACAGTAAGATATAATTTATCTGAAATTTTAAAACAAGTCCCAAGTGAAACAATTGTATCTATTGTATATGGATAGAGTAATCATATCATATAACATTTTGTTGAAACAGAATATATTTGAGAGTTAAAGCGTACCTTAAAATATAACTAAATTATATGTATGCCTTTGAAATATTTGTTTTTCAATGCATGGATTTATGATGTTAGTAGAGCCATAAACTAATCAATATGATTTTCAAAAATAAAAATTCTAATAATAAAAAATTTATGTTCTTTAGAGCAAAGTCATATCTTTATATTCATTGTTTGAATATTAATATTAGTGGAGTCATTATTCTTTGTACATATTAGTATTTTAATAAATTTCCTAATGTGTCATAAAGTATTTATCTGAAGGTTTTAAGATTATAATCCTATGATTTCATTTTATTATAAAATTGCCTCAGTCCTCAGTTTTATAATTAATGATTTTAGAATTATTGACTCCTTAAATTGATTCTCTCTAGATCATAATACTTTTAGTTAAGAAATATTCTCTCTCTCTAGGGATAGAGATACCAGTAGACTCTGAGAAAATTCTGCTAAATGTCTAATATTCTCTTTATATTTTTAATCAAAATATGTGATTATTTCAACTGAAACACTAGATTACATAAGCTCTCATAAACGTGTACAGCATTGTAAATGACAGTACCCCCACAGCAAGGGCCTTCAGATTACTGTGCGCTTGGTGACGAGACTTCCCACACAGATCTCAGCTACGCCTGACCTCAAGTTTCTGTTTCTTGTTTACCCACTTACTGGGGCCTGTTGGCTGTGTGTATTTCGCAGGACGGGGACTGGCCAAGCACCCCTTGTTGGTGTACCGGTGGCCGGTAGGGTGCATCCTTGTGTGCTTCTCCCGCCCCCAACCCAGACTAGAAGTGAGTTCCCCTGGCTCCCTGCGTGCTGTGCCGAGGGGGACATGTTACTTCTGCCACACCTGGCAAGGACCAGGAAAGGAGAGATGAGTTATCCCGGGTCAGCTCTAGGACTTAACTCTGTGTTAGCTGAGAAGTGTAAACTACGATGGCAGGTCGCCCCTTCATCGTCAGCCCTGGAGTAATCACCTCCTGCTCAGGACTCTCGCTTACTGCTTTCTAGTTTGTGCTCCGGTTTCTTCTGCAAATACTTTATCTCATTAAGAACAGAATATTTGTCCAATTCACTCTAGTTTTCCCTGAAATCTCTTAGAATCGACAAAAAAATGCTGGAACTGATATCAAGGGTGCAGGATAGACAGTTAATATACAAGAGCCAGTTTTCTTACGTACCAGCAATGGCCAAGGGGAATTAGAGATTAAAAACACAATAGCATGTGCATTAGCTCTCCCCAAATGGAAAACTTAGATATAAACCTAGCAAAATATTTATAGGATCTGTCCGAGGAAAGCCATACAACTTAAATAAAAGAAATCAAAGAACTAAATAAATAGACATTCCATGTTCATGGGTAAGAAGACTCAATATCATCAAGATGCCAGCTTCCCAACTGATCTAAACAATTTCAATTCCAATTAAAATCAAATCCAGCTGATATCAGTCTTGTTCCTTGGTGTTTACTCAGATGAGTTCAAAACGTATGTCTACACAGTTCGTGCACACAGATGTTTTCAGCGGCCTTTTTCATAAATGCCAAAACTTGGAAGCAGACCTACATGTCCTTCAGTAGGTGAACGGATAAGCGGTGGTACATCCAGACAATAAAATACCATTCGGAGCTAAAAAGGTATAATATCAAACCGTGAGAAGACGCGGAGGAAACTTAAGTGTGTGTCACGAAGTGAAAGAAGCCCACGCGAGACGCCTGCATGCCACGTACGTCCAGCTATACGGCATTCTGAGGAAGAGAAAACGACGGAGATGAAAAAAAAAATCAACGGTCACCAGGGGTTCATCGAGAGGGCAGGGTGAGCAGTCGGAGCCTAAAGGTATTTTTAGGACAAAAAAAACTCCTATTCTTTATGATACTATAATGGCAGATACATGCCATTATACATTTGCCAAGACCCATAAAATGCACAACCCCAGGAGTGAACCCTAACACACCATAGACTTCGAGTGATACTATAATGGCAGATACATGCCATTATACATTTGCCACGACCCATAAAATGTACAACC